CCCCCCGCCGCCCCCCTCCGCCCCACAACCGCCGCAGCCCCCCGCAAAACAGCGCCGCCGCCTTCCCCCCGTCCGCCCCCCCCCCCCGCCGCGCCGCCGACCGATCGACCCGGCGCGAGGCGAAGGCCGCGGGGCGGGCGACCGCGACGACGGCGCGGAGGGAGCGCGCGGACGAAGGGAAGACGGACGCGCTGGATTTTAGCGGGCTGATGCGGATATCGAGCGTCCGAGCGCGGCGGCGGGAAGGGTGAGAGGCGACTGCGTTTTTTGTGATGCTGACCGACCGCGGCTCAATAACTTATGAATGGCGGCGGGCTGTGAAAACGCGACCAAGACTCTTTGAACTGTCGCGTCCCGTCTCGCGTCGCAGAGAGAGCCGCGCCGCGCCGCGACGAGCGCCTCCTCCGACCTCGCTCGCCATGTCGGACATCATGGAGAAGATCGCGTCCATCGAGCTCGAGATGAGCCGGACGCAGAAGAACAAGGCGACGGCCGCGCACTTGGGGTCGCTGAAAGCGAAGCTCGCGAAGCTCCGGCGCGATCTCATCGAGCCCTCGAGCAAGGGCGGGCCGAAGGGCGAGGGTTTCGACGTCACGAAGACGGGCGACTGCCGCGTCGGTTTAGTCGGGTTCCCGTCCGTGGGGAAGTCCACGCTTCTGAATAAGCTCACCGGGACGTTCAGCGAGGTGGCCGCGTACGAGTTCACGACGCTCACGTGCATCCCTGGGGTGATTCGCTACCGCGGCGCGAAGATACAGCTCCTCGATCTTCCCGGGATCATCGAGGGCGCGAAGGACGGCAAAGGCCGCGGTCGCCAAGTCATCTCCACCGCGCGGACGTGCAACGTCATCGTGATCGTGTTGGACGCGCTGAAACCGCTCACGCACAAGCGTTTAATCGAGCACGAGCTCGAGGGCTTCGGCATCCGCCTCAACAGAGAGCCCCCGAAGATCACGTTTCGAAAGAAGGACAAGGGCGGGATATCGTTCACGCCGAACAACAACGGCGAGACGACCTTCCTCGACGAGGAAACGGTGAAGAACATCTTGAGCGAGTACAAGATCCAGCACGCGGACGTGAAGCTGCACGAGGACAGCACGGACGAGGAGCTCATCGACGTGATCGAGGGGTCGAGGATTTACGTCCCGTGCATATACGCCATCAACAAGATCGATCAGATCACCGTGGAGGAGCTGGACCTCCTGACGAAGATGAAGCACTACGTCCCGGTGAGCGCGCACAAGGAGTGGAATCTCGATGGACTTCTCGAGACGGTGTGGGATTACCTCGACTTGGTGCGCGTGTACACGAAGCCGCGAGGGGTGAACCCAGATTACGACGACCCCGTGGTGTTGCCGAGGAAGGCGTGCAGCGTGGAGGATTTCTGTAACCGTTTACATAAGGGGATCATGCGGTCGTTTAAGCAGGCGCTGGTGTGGGGGTTGAGCGTGAAGCACCGGCCGCAGAAGGTTGGGAAGGAGCACATTTTGGAGGACGAGGACGTCGTGCAGATAGTCAAGAAGGTGTGAGCGACGCGACGAGGGGGGGACGATTTACGCCCGGTTGTGAACAAAACAATTCACGACGACGATACCGTACCTACTAATTAAACGCGCTGCTAACACGTCGTCGTCGATCTAATACATCCCGAGCTCGCGTCTCAGCGCGGCGACGACCTCGACCGACCCGGCGTCCACGCCCTCGTCGCCGTCGTCGTCGGACCGCTCGTCCGCGCGAGCTCCGATCCACGCGACGTGACCGTCCGGTCGAACGAACGCGTCGGCGCCCCCTGCCGCTCGCGTCCACGCGCCTTTCTCGTCCACGGCGATCACGAAACGGTCGTCGCTCGGGCGTTTACCTCCCTCATAGTAATACCTTTCGACCCCGCGCGCGATCGATGCCGTGGGAGCGACGATCGCGAGTCGAATCGACACCCCCGCCGGCGCGGCGTCTCTCAAGCGCTGAATCGTATCGTTCGCGAGCGTCAACCGCATCGAGTGCGAACGCGGTTCCTCGTCGTCGCGCAGCGTCTTGATCAGCGTGAACACGACCCCGGGTGTGGACCGCAACTCTTGCGTCGCCCACGCCGCGTGCGCGTCGTCGCCGCCGATCGCGCCGTCGAGGACGCTCAGCTCGAGAAGGTCCAACGAGGAAATATGTTTCGCCGATTTTCGGTCGTCGTTCGGACCGAGGTGAAGCGACAGCCACGCGTGCGGGAGCCGTCCGCCGACGACTAAAGTCCCGGGGGGCACGAGCGTCGCGGCGGTGCCGAGGCCGTCGTCCGATTGGCCGCGGTCACGACGCGCCCAATCACCCGTTGCCGCGTGTTCAGATCCCGGTCCGTACACGAACCCCAGATCCTCCGTGGGGAACTGCAACCGCAACGTCTTCCCGCCGCCTTCTTCGCACATCCTCTTCACCGTCGCGCGTCTCGCGTTCCCTATCGCGTTATCCGTGAGCAACAAATCACCGCACTGCGCCCGGCCCAACGCCAGCCCAGCGTTGAGCGCAGCCTTCGCCGCGAACGACGGCAACGCGGCCGTCGCCTCGGTCAGCGCCGCCGCCGCGTCGGGGGGCAACCCCAACGCCGTCGGTATCTTCAGCACCTGGCGAAAGTTGCTCACGCTCAGTCGCGTGTTCCCGACCGCGACCGGGCGGCGCTCCGCGTGATAGCTTCGCAGAAGGTTCCGCGCGCTCGGCGCGCCGGAGCCGCCGTCGCCGGCGCTCGCGACGGCGACCGCGAGTTTCCACGCGAGGTTATGCGCGTCCTGTATCCCCGTGTTCATCCCGAACCCTCCCGCGGGCGGGAACCTGTGCGCGGCGTCGCCGCACAAGAACGCGCGCCCGCGACCAGCCACGAACTCGTCCGCGACTTCCGCGGACATCGTCCACGCGCGGACGCTTCTCACGTCGACGTCGTCGAACGAATCGTTTTCGTTTTCGTTTTCGCCCGCCGCGGCGCCCCCCGCCGCCGCGCGCGCGAGCCCGACGCACGCCTCCATCCCGAAGTCCTCCTCCGCGCTCTGCGTCGGAGGGAAGTACGGCACCTGAGCGACGAACTCGCCGTCGCCGCGCACGTCGTGCGCGACGACGACGGCGACGACGGAGGGGTTAAACACGAAGTATAGCATCGCCGCGCCGTCGCCGCCGTCGTCCTCTCGCAGCGCGCGCGCGAGTTTCCTCGATCGGAAGTGCACGTTCACGAGGTGCTGCATCTCCGGCGTGCCTCTGAGTCCGACCCCGAGACGCTCGCGCGTCCGCGACGACGCGCCGTCCGCGGCGACGAGGTACGACGCGCGCAGCGTCCGCTCTCGTTGAGCGTTCTTCTCGTCATCGTTCTTCTTCGCTCCCGCCATCCGCGGCGACGTCGCGTCGCGCACCGTCGCGGTCACCCCGTCGTCGTCGCACGTCGCGCCGACGCACTCCGTCCCGTGCGCGAACCCGCGGATCCCCCGCGGATGCGCCGCGATCGCGCGGTCCAGAAGCTCCGGCTCGAGCCGGTGCTGCCCGAAGTGCGCGACGGACGTCGGCGACGCGGCGTCGCGGTTTTCCTCCTCCTCCTCCTCGCCCTCGCCCTCGCCCTCGCCCTCCCTCCCGCCGCCGCCGCCGCCCGCGAAGTGATCCACCCTGCCGAGCTCCACCCCCCCCACCATCTGCGTCTTGTACAGAAACTTCCTCCAGTGCTTCAGCGGCGGCTGCGATCGCGTCACGACGCGCTCGAGCCCGCTCACGTGACGGAAGATCTCCATCGTTCGGTTGTTCACGAAGTGCGCCTGCGGGTGCGTCGTCGCTCCGTCCGCGCGGCGCTCGATCAGCGTGCTGTCCACGCCCGCTCGCGAGAGGAGGTACGACAGCGTCAGCCCGACGGGGCCGCCGCCGACGATGAGCACGGGGACGGGAGCGGCGGACGTCTCGTCGTCGTCGTCGTCGCGCGCGGTGGAGAGCCCGCGCGATCGCGACGCCGACCCTGCGACGGTTCGATGACAACGACGACGACGACGAAGACGCGACGCGACGGCGACGACGTCCTGAGTCGCGAGGACGCGCGGGGGGGGCGACGCCGCGGCGGCGAGCGCGCGCAGCGCGCGCGATATCGCGCGCGACATCGTGCCCGCGCCCCGGCGCGCGGCGAGTCGTGAGGGTCGAGGGCGAGAGCGACGAGGTTTGGTGAGATGACGAGCGCGTCTGTCGCCGAGCGTTCTACAGGTACGTATGGGATTTTACACGTCGTCGCCGAGACTACACCGCGAGTCCGAACACGGTGACTATGCAGTACATCGACTTGTTCTCCCACCGCACCGTGCGGCTCCCTGTGCGGCGACAAACGAGAGAATACCAGAGCGGAGGAGCGAACGTCAACGCGGGGACGGGGACGGGGGAATCCAAAAACGAATCCAAAACGTCGCCGCCGCCGCCGCGCGCGTCCGCCGCGCGCGCGACGAACGACGACGACGCGTTCGCGACCCGAAGCGACGACGCACCGTCGGTCTCGTTATCCCAGTAGCACGACGACGCCGTGTGCAACCCCGCGCCGTTCTTCTGCATGATGACGCACGTCACCACGTACTTGAACGGCTTCTTCAGCGCGGTGAGTCGTCGCAGCGTCGTCTCCACCGCGCTGCTCGTCCACTGACCAACCTTCGCGTGCGAGTACGCCGCGTTCTGTAACACCGCGTCGATGGACTCTTTGATGATCTCGTTCACGTCGTCCGCGACGAAGATCGCCTGGCGGGAGGGGACGCGCGGGGTGGACGAGACGGACGACGACGCGTCAGCGTCGAGGGGGCGCGACGCGAGGACGATCGATCGAGCGATTTCCGAGCGAGCGAGCGAACGAAGAAGCCTAAACCGGGCATCCGCCGCGACGACCACGATCGCGGTCGTCGCCGCTCGGGAGCGCGCGCGCCTGCGTCGGGTCCTCGACCTGGACCTCTTCCTCTTCTTCGTCCATCTCGACGGCGCGTCCGCGCGAGCGCTGTTCGCCCGCGACGCGGGTGGGCACGGCGCCGCGCCTCCGCTCGCGCGCGGCGGTCTCCCTTCCGCGGGGGGAGGGGGAAAACGAGACGCGAGCGAAGGGTCGCAGACGCGACGGACGCCTCGCGCGCGCGCGGTCGTCCGACGCTCGCGGGGAACGCCGCGCGTGTGCGGGTTCGAACGCGCGCGACGCGAGTTCGACGCCGGCGCGTGGACGCGCGCGCGGTTGTGGCGGGCGGCGGCGCGCGGACGGACGAGAAGAGGGCGCCGGGGAGTAGGATTCCGCGCGCGAGACTGCTGATGACCGATGACTGCGGTCTCTTCTTCGAAATACAATAATACCATTCATTGAACGCCCGCGGGGCCTCCTCTCCTCCTCCTCCTCCTCCTCACCCCTTGTTCCAGGACAACTCCACCGCGTCCCCGCGCCTCCGCGGCGGGTGCAGATGAAAGTACGCGAACACGAAACTCGCGACCCAGCACCCGCACCCGATCCCCAGGTACGCGCCGCCCAAAAACATGTTCTTCCCCCCGAGCCAGCTCGTCGTCGACAGCACGATCCTCTTCTCGCCGCCGTACTTGTACGAGTTGAATCGATTCGCGATCGTCACCGTGATAGTCTCCCCGCTCGCGATGTCCGTCGTTATCCGCCCCCAGAGCTTGCGGAACGTGCTCAGCGCCGCCGTGCGCATCCACACGATGAAGTGTTCGTCCTTATCTAAGGAAGCCGCCGTCAGTCCGGAGCCGCCGCGCGTCGCGACGTCGTCGTTGAAATTCGCCGGCGCGACGTTCTGAGGTGTGGAGTTGAAAGGCGTCAGGTGGAGTTGAAAGGCTTCGAGGGCGGGGATTGAAAGCGAGGTGTGGGCGGAGAGATGCGCCGGGAAAAGTCCTTAAGGATCGGCGTTCACCACGCCGACGCGGTCGTATGGGGACCAGTGCGAGATAGAACGCACCTCGCCGAACCTCAGGTCCACGTCCGCGTCCCACGCGATGTCCGTCTCCGACACCGCGATCGCGGCGCCGCTGCCGTCCGTCAGCGCGAACGTGTCGTTGAAGTACGACCACGCGACGAGCCCGCACGGCGTGATCTCATCCCCGGACGCGTCGTAGAGTTGCGGCTTGCAAAAGTCGTCGACGCGAGCGTCGCCGCTCATCTGCTCGTCGCTCCTCGAGTTTACGTACCGACGATGGTTCGCGTAAAAGTTCTCGAGCTCGTAGTATACGTATATCGGCGCGGTCATCTTCGCGGGCGCGGTCAGCGTCACCGTGCACGTCGTCCCCGCGCCCAACGTCTGCTGCGACGTCGCGAGCTCGACGTCCGAGGAGAAGAACCCCGACGTACAGCTCGCGACGTCGTCGTATCGAGCGCTCACTTCCACGACGCCGTCGCTCGCGACGTAGCAAATCACCCCTAGGGGGATGAACAGCGCCCCGAGCGCGAACAGGATGCACGCGATCTGGGGTGGAGGGAGGGGTCGCGAGCGTGGTGGGGATGGGGTTGAGTCGCGCGTTCGCGCGGGCGCGCGGGGCGGCGTCGCCGGTGCGAGACCGCCGCGAGAAAAAAATAAGGTTACCAAAGAAAAACATTTCGGGGAACGGAGGGACGCGTCGACAATCGCGCGGGGTTGACCGCGCGGGGAACGGCGTCGCGCGCGCGCTCGCGCGCGGGTCGCGGAGAGGCGTCAAGCGGAGAGACGCACCCATTTCGGCGTGAGGATCGGTC